ATCTGGTGGCCTGAGGTGATCAAAAATGAGGTCTTATTGGAAATCCATCCATTGGATTGAGTTCCTATAATGATCCTGCCGATGATTTTATTGTATCGTTGGTGAATCCAAAATGTAGTGCGCGGATCTTCTTTTTTGAATGGTAGAACTTTCATCAGTAGAATATTTTGTGGCGAATCGTGTAGGATATTTTGTTTCAGAAAATTGACCGCGCAAGTCAAATTCACTGGAATATTAATGTGAACAACTGCTTCTCATCAAGTCCAAATCTTTTTTCGTCTCTAGGCTGTTCTAGTCGTAGATGGTTCTGGTGTTAGTTACTGAAGATTTGTCCTTGTGACTGATTTTCTCTTCCGTCCAAGCATTTATCACACCACAAAAATATACTTCTTGACATAACTGTACTTTCGGTGGGGAGTATTGACAAATTTGGATATGTTTGTCAACACTGTTCACAGCCGCTCTTTTTGCCTTTGAGTTAGATCATTTTCAAAACTGGCCTTTATATTCAGAAATGTTGCAGATTAGTTCCATTGCCGCACAAACATTAAAGTGACCGTTGGTTAACGCATTACCGCATTTGAAACAGGAGCTGGATTTTTTTATATTCAACTTGATTTTTTCTTACAGGATTGAAAATTTTGTTCACCTCGGCATTTCGCTTTTCTTTTTTGTCAATATAAAGTGTTCAAAAAAACCATTTTTTATTGATGATCGCCTGATTCAGTGTATAAAATGGACTAGTTATTTCCGAAATTAGTCTCCGTTGGAGGTTGCCATTTCTCATGTTGAATTTGAACACGTCTAGTAACCAATCTTGCTCTGCGTGAGCTCTAAGTTTGCATCTTCTCTCTAAGTCTGATAGTGCTCAGCAAGTTGTACCGTTCGAAATTGATATTAGATGGTTTTAGGAATGCTATTCCAGATAACATTTTCACCCTAGGGAGTTTTTGTGAGAAGACTTTCTCACTTCAATTCCTTAGGCTAACTAAAACATTGAGCTTACTTTTTTTTCCGCTTTGATTTTTCTCAACCAACCTAACTTTCGTTTCTCCTCCGCATTTTTTTTCGCTGAAGCTTCGTAGACTTTCATATTTTGTCTCTATTCCTGGCCTTGCTATCTTTCCTCTGTGTTTCAAATTCTGAATCATGAGGACCTTCTAGGATTGGTGATTCTGTCTCCGACTCGAATGATTCTTGTAAGTCGTCGATGCCTAAATTCTTTTTAGCAATAATCGCCAGATGAAACTGGTCAATTCAGTTTGTCCATTGGCTGGGGGTTTCTACCCTATGATTTGGCCGAAAGGCAGGGATTTCCCGCAGAATTTAATCATTTGACTGCACCATAAAAAAATGTTCAGATACCACTTGTATACTTAAGATTAATTTAAACTAGATTCAAAAGAAAAATTAAAAACGAATTGAATTAAAACTGTCCTTTCTATAGGACAGAGAAGTTGCGTCTATATAGAAGTCGCGCCAAGTCCAATGGATTTTGATTAAACACGATCTAACAATTAGCTAATTAAAAATTGGAGGCCAAAATAAGTGCAAAAAAAACTCAATTCAGCTTAATCTCATTTCTGTTAAGATGAACGGTCTGCGCAAAAACTGTACCTGTATATTTTTTATGTGGAAAGCGAAAAAAACAGTTGGTATTATAGCTTCCAGGAAATTATAGTCCCGACCAATATAGAAGAATCACAAGGTACCAAAAATTAGTGAAAGCTCCTTTAGAAAAATGTAAGATTGATAAGACTTATAAAATAATACCAATGGGGAGACCCTTCGGTTGTTGAGGGGATCGAGTCCCTGAGAGGGAAGGGGGTAAGCCTCCTCACCTCCCCTAAATCAGCCCCTGCAAAAGTTGATATACTTTTTTGATTTCCCTTAGTCATCCCTAACTGATTTTGAGTCATTTTTATTGTTATAACGTTCTATATTTCATGGTCTTTTTATAGGAGATTTTTGGCGGTTTAAGGAGCGATTTTAGAAGATGAATTTTGAAAACTAATTGAGGTTTAAAAAAAATTAGCTAAGCAGCGTGCCAAATTTCATATCAGCGATACCTAAGTTACAGCAGCGAAAATCAAGGTGAAACAAAAAGAAAAAAGGCTTAAATTTTCCTGGAATTTGTTCTCACAAACCTTAAGCTTTTGCTATCCAGCATTTAGCAAAAAAAATCATTTCGATTCGATAATAATTATACACGTAAGTAGAGCCAGATTGAAAAATTTTGGTAATTAAGTTTGAAGAACAAATGTGATTGGAGTTTTTAAATCATTCTTGATGTCAAAATAAAGTGTTCAAAAAAACCATTTTTCATCGATGATCGCCTGATTCAGTGTATAAAATGGAATATATATTTCCAAAATTAGTCTCCGTTGGAGGTCGCGATTTCTCATGTTGAATTTGAACACGTCTAGTAACCAATCTTGCTCTGCGTGAGCTCTAAGTTTGCATCTATCGCTAAATCTGATAGTGCTCAGCAATTTGTACCGTTCGAAGGTGATATTAGATGGTTTTTAAAATGCGATTTCTAATAGTTTGAAAATTTGTTTCTAAAAGTGACAGATAACATTTTCACCCTAGGGAGTTTTTGTGAGAAGACTTTCTCTCTTCACTTCCTTAGGCTAACTAAAACATTGAACTTATTTTTTTTTCGGCTTTGATTTTTCTCAACCAACCTAACTTTCGTTTCTTCTCCGCATTTTTTTCCGCTGAAGCTTCGTAGACTTTCATATTGTCTCTATTCCTGGCCTCGCTATCTTTCCTCTGTGTTTCAAATTCTTAATCTTGAGGACCTTCTAGGATTGGTGATTTTGTCTCGGACTCGAATGGTTCTTGTTAGTCGTCGATGCCTTAATTCTTTTTAGCAATAATCGCCAGATGATACTGGTCGATTCAGTTTGTCCATAGAGGTTTCTACCCTATGATTTGGCCGAAAGGCGGGGATTTCCCGCAGATTTTAATCATTTGACTGTACCATAAAAAAGTATTCAGATACCACTTGTATGTTTAAGCACAATTTAAACTAGATTCTGAAGAAAAATTAAGAACGAATTAAATAAAAACTGTCTTTTCTATAGGACAGAGAAGTTGCGTCAATATAGAAGTCGCGCCAAGTCCAATGGATTTTGATTAAACACGATCTAACAGTTATCTAATTAAAAGTTGGAGCCAAGTTAAGAGTAAAAAACTCAACTCACAACACGATGTTAGAACTCATAAAAGAACTTATGTTAAAAACTCTCTTTTGTTACAAAGATTGACAGTTCATATTTGGTTTTCATGCATATAATTTGGAAAAACCTTCGCGCAAAAAATTTTTAATTTTTGATTGAAAGGCGGTAAAGATACTCCACCTCAATTTAAACTTTTTTTATGGCTAAAATTAAAGGTTTGTGACATTTTTTTAGGTTCTGCCTGCATGACAACCCCAACCATGTTTGATTTTGACAGCTTAATCTCATTTCTGTTAAGATGAACGGTCTGCGCAAAAACTGTACCTGTATATTTTTTATGTGGAATGCGAAAAAATTCGTATTATAGCTTCCAGGAAACTATAGTCCCGACCGTTATAGAAGAATCGCAAGGTACCAAAAACTACTGAAGGCGCCTTTAGAAAAATTTAAGATTGATAAGACTTGATTTCATAAAATAATACCAATGGGGAGACCCTTCGGTTGGCGAGGGGATCGAGTCCCTGAGAGGCCCCCCTCCCCTAAATCAGCCCCTGCAAAAGTTGATATACTTTTTTGATTTCACTAGTCATCCCTAACTATTTTTGACTCATTTTGTTTTTCGACTACCTGCGAATTTTTATTGTTATAACGTTCTCTATTTCATAGTGTTTTTAAAGGAGATTTTTGGCGGTTTTAGGAGCGGTTTTAGAAGATGAATTTTGAAAATTAAATTTTGGTTAAAAATCAGTTAGGCAGCGTGCCAAATTTCATAGCAGCGATCCCTAAGTTATAGCAGCGAAAATCGAGGTGACACAAAAAGAAAAAAAGGCGGCTCTTTTTCCTTTCCCCCCCCCACCTGCAAATTTTTATATTTGAAGTTACTGTTCACTTTGTCCGATTGTCAAGAAATTTGACATGCAGACTAACTAGGTTATGAGAAACATATTTGGTCTTCATAATTAACCTTGTAAAACCACTCGTTAGACCATAAAATTCATGTTTGAGTGAGGTGGGGGGGAAAAGGAAAAAGAGCCAAAAAGGCTTAAGTTTTTCTGGAATTTGTTCTCACAAACCTTAAGCTTTTGCTATCCAGCACCTCGCAAAAAAAATGATTTCGATTCGATAATAATTATACACGTAATTAGAGCCAGATTTTAAAACTTTGGATATTAAATTTGAAGGTTTTTTTCCAGTCCCCCCCCCCGTTTAAATTCAATTTTGAAAAGCTTAATTAACGTTGTCATAACGCAATGAAACTTGGCGCGGTGAACAAATCGGCAACAGCGAACAGATTTGTTCTTCATACTTTACTTCGTAACATCACGCATTTAGCCGTAATAGTGCAAAAAACAAACATGATACTCGAAATTTTGAAAGGGGGGAGTAGAAAAGAGCCAGTTTGAAGAACAAATGTGATTAGAGTTTTTTATTCATTCACGATGCAAACATTCCTGTCAATATGACATCATGAAAGATATTTTAATTCAGTTTTGGAAAAAGGAAAAGAGCCAAACTTTCGAAACAGAAGTTCAGATATGGGTGAAAAAGAGCCGCTGTTCGCTCGCTCACGACAAGGACTGGAAAGTTTAAAAGGATTCTGTAAAAGATCCGGAACAATTTTAATGCTGAAACTTCAAATCAAAACAAGTAAAAAACATTATACTTATAGTGCTCATTCACTAAAAAAAAAGAAAAAGGAATGACATACTCTTGTATTCAAAAATGCACGTGCTCTTTAAAAAACAATACAAAATTTGCTCTAGACATATACTACTGACTATTCTGTACAGGTATAAAAAGCATGACAAAATAATTTTAGCACAGCCAAAACCAGCGTTGGTGTACGTATGCATGTACAATAAGAAACAATTATGATTATTCAAATCTTCATTTACAAAGCTTGGTACATTTCTGTTTGAGCTTTTAACGCGTACCAACAACGCAGTTTTTTTTCAATGCGTATGACTAACAGATAGAACTTGCTTTTGCCTAACAGTATGTCAAATTTCACAGTCCAAGTATCAAATTTTCAAGACCAGGATAAAATCAACCCTAGACCGAATGAGAAAACAGAATCGGAGTATCTTTTGGAAGAGTTTTTATCGCCATGGAGACTCAAAGAAATTACCGGGGAGTCAAACCTCGAAGACGCCTCTTCGCTTCAAATGGTCGTCGACACCACCGAAAACAGTCTCGGAAATTTTGGTCATTATTTGCCAAACTTGACCCAACTTGACCTTTCCAACTCAGTTTTGACCTCTATTCGAGACCTGGGCTCGTCTTTAGCCAAGTTAGAAGTTTTATGGCTGACCAAATGTCAACTTGTAGATCTTGACGGCATTCCGACTTTTGCTAATTTGACGGAGTTATACTTGTCTTATAACCATATTAATAATATAAGCGATCTGAGTATGATGGAAAATCTAAGAACCCTCGATTTGGAGGCAAATGACATCGACGATATCGACCAGATCATTTTCCTCGAAGTCTGCGGAAATCTTCTGAATTTATGTCTTCAACACAATCCGATCTGCTCCACGCCAAAACCAATGCTTCCTTTTGATCCAGATTACAATTACAGATCAGCTGTGATCAAAATGTTGCCGCAACTCAAAAACTTAGATGACATTCCAGTTTCCGACAAAACTCAAGATTTCACAAATCTGGACGAAGATTTACAACTTCTGACAGAAAACATTAAGTTTGGATTAATATCCGAGGGCGAGGACTCGGATCGGCCCGGAAGCTCAACCGGAAAACGTCCCGGCAGCGCGTTGTCAAAGCGTCCCGGAACTGCAATGAGACCACGCAGTGCTATGCCGTCGATGTTATTTGGAAAAAGTAGCTTTGGGGTTCGACCGGGAACAGCGGCGAGATTCGACCGGCCACCGACCGCCGCCGAGAAAGCTTTTTTCCAATTGCCGACGGCGAGACCCGGAACAGGTTCGAGTGTCGCAAGCACAGACTCGGCCATCGACATGGACGAATTTAGCAAACTGACTTCCGGAAATATTGTCTGCGGAAATCCTCTTAAAGCAATCAGAAACAAAAAGAGTGAAAAGCAAATAAACAAAACTCGAAATTTGGAATTATCAGGAGCTAATTCTAACGCAAACACAAAACTGCTGGCCAGTGATGAAACATTCTCGAACATTCTAGAAGAACTGAAAGAATGGAGACAAGAATTTGATCAAAAGAAGGACTTGACCAAACTTTCGATGACAGAGGAAGTTAACGTGTTAACGTTGTCGGCAGACGAGGCCATTGACGTTTCGGCTATGGACGAAAACAGCCGAGGTGTGAACGAAAATGGAAGAGGTGATAAAGTAAACGCAATTAAAGACGGACCTAGCAGTCAAAACAGTTTGTCACCCGAGCATCATAAACGTTCTAGCGTAAACATTAGAAGAAGGCAATACGCTCCCGTCTCGGAAAACCCGAGAAACGATTCCTCCTATGAATTCGTGGGAGATGAGTCATACGAAGATGGCGACAGCGGACTGGCTTCTTCTCGTGAGACCGACACGCCAGCAAGTTTTCTGAACGAGTATCAACAACGCGGACCTTTCAGGTCCTCGGACCCGAAGCTAAACCCGTCGGTTAACCTTTCGAAGTTGGCGCCGCACCAGATGTCAATCAAACCATCATTGGTTCCAGTGGCCCTCAAACCCAGCTTGAGTAACATTGGATCTGGTAGTTCGCCAGTTAGACCTAAAATAAAAAATGCATCCAGACCAGCCAGATCGACCATTGATCAGATGGGGAAAAATAAACCCTCTCTCGTTCCAGCACCGCCTACTGCTCCTCCTCACAAACTAGCCCTGAGTGCCCGACCCAAAAGCGCTATGACGTCACTCTCTTTTGAAAAGTTTTCAGGCTCTTCGTAGAACTCTCTTTTGAAAAGTTTTCAGGCTCTTTGTAGAAACATTTTGTTCAAAATTTGAATTATTTTCTGTTTCATTCACCAGTCATTTTAAAATGTAATACTTTGCTCGTTTCGCTGAAAAACTATCATGTAATTGTTTGAATTAAAATTCAAGATTGAGAAAATAGTTTATCTCATCAAACAAATTCATGCAAGATTTTTTTCCTCCCCTTTTTTACATTTTGTCAATTTTCCAGTTCTGTCAAAATTGTACCAAGACGCATTTATTTCATTTAAAATTTTGGCACAGACAGTTTTTTTAGCAAAAGCGCCAGTGGGCCAGTGAACCGAAATAGGTTCGAAACAATGGCATTCTGTATTGAAAAGGAAACATGACGCATGATGCTTTCTTATTATTTTTTTTTGAAATAGTTTTAAATATTGATGAGAGCAGTTTCTAAAATAGTCAGAAAAATTCCTTGAGTTTTTCAAAAACGTTGTAAGCATATAAGCTGTGAAGACAAGATTAATTTTTTTTTCAAAAAATGAAAGTAATTGAAAACTTTTTTGAAAAATTCTTTAAAAATTAACTGTTTTTGTATGTTCATTTTTGCAGTCGGAAATTTTTGTGCTACTTTCTTTTACCGGCTATCCTTGTTGTTCCTTTGTGAAGTGCGGAGGATTTTTGTATTCGAATGTGTTGTAGTTTTTTCTTTTTTTTGTTTTGCCTGCAAAATCAGGTACCACAAATAATTATCATCGGACCGGGTCAAGTGCTACATCGCGTTAGAGCCCCTTCAGTCGGAATTTTGGAGAAGCTTCGTGAATACTAATAATGATTTTTCTTTCTGTTTTGCCGGTCATTTTTTGATAAACGCTGTTACTGATGATCATCTTGTATTTTTAATATGGGTGTCGAGTATAAAATTGATGGATACTTGAGGTGGGGGGGGGGGGGGGGGGAGACATTTATGCTTTTTAGGAAATGTAGGTGTGGTGTTCTTTCAGACTCTTTTACACTAGTGGACAAAATTAAGCGCAAAATCAAGATAATACTTTGTAAAATGCATGTTTCCAATGTCCACCTGAAATTCAGTAAAATTTGTACTTTGACCGAGAGAAACTTATCAGAGCTACCCTCTATGGAACTATCGAAATTGAGTTTCGAGCGCTTACCAATGTAATCGGGGCCTAACAATGCCAGTTCTCTTTTTCATGTGCTCTAAATTTTTCACATGGCGTAGAAATGTAAGAAACTTCCAAGTTTAGTAAAGTTTTTCACCTTGATTATTTCAACTTTCTCGCTGAGAATGTTTCACGTCGCATGAACAACTGTTTTTTTCGTTTATTTAAAAAAGATACCAATAGGATGCAAAACATATGGCAGATGAAGAAAACTGGCTTTATTAGACCCGGCTTACATTGCTAAGTTTTTGAAAGTAAAAAAAGATAGTTTCATAGAGGATAGCTCTGATTATTTGCTCTTGGTCTATGTAAAATTTTTATTGAATTCTGAAGAAAACGCTGTCCAAAATGGACATCAAAAAGAAGTATTTTAGAGAGTAAAGTCCTGAACTTGCGCCGAATTTTGTCCACTAGTAAATTTTTTCACGCAGATTTGAAAAATTAATGCAGATAATGAAAACGGGCATTTTAAGGCCAGGATTACAATGGTAAATTTTGAAACCAAGCATTCATAGTTTTACAAAGAGTAGCTTTGATCTTTTATTTTGGTCCAAGTAAGAATTAAACTGATGTCGCCTAACGGTTTTTTCTGTAAAACCTCGAGTCTGTTTTTGAATTGCTCAAATGAGCTTCGACGCAATTGGCAAAATGTCGCCTTCCATCATCCGTCAGTTGTCGCCTAACTGGTTTTTCTGTAGATTTTATGTCTCTGATTCAATAGCTCAAAAGAGCTTCAACGCAATCGGTGAAATTTCGCCTTCTATCAGTTATGGCTTAACGAGTTTTTCTAAACAATTTTGTGTCAGTTTTTAATTGCTCAAAAAAGTTTCAAAGCAATTGACGAAATGTCGCCTTCCATCAACTGTCGCCGAACGATTTTTTTCTGTACAACTTTTCGTCTCTGTTTCAATAGCTCAAAAAAACTTCAAAGCAAATGACGAAATGTCACCTTCCATCAACTGTCGCCGAACGAATTTTTCTGTACAAGATTGCGCCTCTGTTTCAATTGCTCGATATAGTCTGGACGCAATCGATCAAATATCCTTCCCATCAGTTGTCGCCTAACGAGTTTTATGTAAAATTTTGCGTCTCAGTTTCAATTGCTCAAAATAGCTTCGAAGTAATCGGCGAAATGTCGTTTTCCACCAGTTGTCGACTAACGGGTTTCTATATACAACTCCGCGTCTCTGATTCAATTGCCTAAAATAGCTTCAATGCAATCGTTCAAATGTCGGATTCCATCCGTTGTCGCTTAACGGTTTGATCTGTAAATTTTTTTGCCTCTTTTCAATTGCTCAAAATAGCTTTGACGCAATTGGCAAAATGTCGCTTTCCATCAGTTGTTGCATAACGCGTTTTTCTATAAAATTTTGAGTCTATTCTCAATTGCACAAAATAGCTTCGAGCAATCGCCGAAAAGTTGCCTTCCATCAGATGTCGCCTTGCGGTTTTTTCTGTAAAATTTCGAGTTTGTTTTGAATTGCTCAAAAGAACTTCGACGCAATTTGCAAAATGTCGCCTTCCAGCATCCATCAGTTGTCACCTAACTGGTTTTTCTGTACATTTTGTGTCTCTGATACAAAAGCTCAAAAGAGCTTTGACGCAATCGGCGAAATTTCGCATTCTATCAGTTGTGGCTTAACGGGTTTTCTAAACAGCTTTGTCTCATTTTTCAATTGCTCAAAATAGCTTCGGTGCATTCGGCGAAGTGTTGCCTTCCATCAGTTGTCGCCTAACGGGATTTCCAATACAATTTTGCGTCTCTGTTTCACTTGCTCAAAAAAGCTTCAAAGCAATTGACGAAATGTCGCCTTCCATCAACTGTCGCCGAAAGAGTTTTTCCTGTTCAACTTTTCGTCTCTGTTTCAATTGCTCATAAATCTTCGAAGTAATCGGCGAAAGGTCATTTTCCAGCAGTTGTCACTAACAAGATTTTCTATACAATTCTGCGTCTCTGTTTCAATTTCATAAAATAGCTTCGATGCAATTGTTGAAATGTCGGTTTCCATTAGTTGTCTCTGAATGATTATGTCTGTAACACTTTGAGTATCTTTTCAATTGCTCAAAATAGCTTCGCGCAATTGGCGAAAAGCTGCCTTCCATCAGATGTCGCCTAACGGTTTTTTTTGTAAAACTTCGAGCATGCTTTGAATTGCTCAAAAGAGCTTCGACGCAATCGGCAAAATGTCGCTTTCCACCAGTTGTCGCATAACGGGTTTTTCTGTAGAAGTTTGAGTCTGTTTTCAATTGCTCAAAATAGCTTCGCGCAATTGGCGAAAAGTTGCCTTCCATTAGATGTCGCTTAACGGTTTTTTTTTGTAAAACTTCGAGCATGTTTTAAATTGCTCAAAAGAGCTTCGATGCAATTGGCAAAATGTCACCTTCCATCATCTATCAGTTGTCGACTAACTGGTTTTTCTGTACGCTTTGTGTCTCTGATTCAATAGCTCAAAAGAGCTTCGACGCAATCGGCGAAGTGTCGCTTTCCATCAGTTGTCGCCTAACGGTTTTTCTTTACCATTTTGCGTCTCTGTTTCATTTTCTCACGATAGCCTCAACGCAATTGGCAAAATTTGGCCTTCCATGAAAATTCGCCTTATGGGTTTTCTTTACAAGATTGCGCCTCTGTTCCAATTGCTCAAAACAGCCTCAACCCAATCGATGAAATGTCGCTTTCCATCTGTTGTCGCCTAGCGAGTTTTCTATAAAATTTTGCGTCTCTGTTTCATTTGCTCAAAATAGCTTCGAAGTAATCGGCGAAATCTCGTTTTCCACCAGTTGTCGCCTAATGGCATTTTCTATACAATTTTTTGTCTCTGTTTCAATTGCTAAAAATAGCTTCGACGCAACCGTTGAAATGTCGCTTTCCATCGGTATTCGCCTAACGGGTTTTTCTATACGTATTTGCGTATCTATTTCAATTGCTCAAAAAAGCTTCGAAGTAATCGGCGAAATGTCGCTTTCCATCAGTTATCGCCTAACAGGTTTTTGTTTACACTTTTGCGTCTCAGTTTCAATAGCTCGAAAAAAATTCAACGCAAAAGGCGAAAAGTCGCCTTATATCATCTATCAGTTGTCGCTCAACTGGTTTTTCTGTACAGTTTTGCGTCTCTTTTTTTATTGCTGAAAATAGTTTCGACGCAATTGGCGAATTGTCGCTTTCCATCAGTTGACGCCAATTGAGTTGTTCTGTACAATTTTGCGTCTCTGATTCATTTGCTGAAAAGAGCTTCGACACAATCAGCGAATTGTCGTTTTCCATCTTCTATCAGTTCTCGCCTAACTGGTTTTTCTGTACAATTTTTCGTCTCTGTTTCATTTGCTCAAAATTGCATCGAAGTAATCGCCGAAAAGACGTCTTCTATCAGTTGTCGCCCAACGGTTTTTTTTGTGCAGTTTTGCGTCTCTGCTTCAATAGCTCAAAATAGCTTCGACGGAATCGGCGAAATGTCGCCTTCCATCAATTGTCTTCTAACGGGTTTTTCTGTACAAATTTGCATCTCTGTTTCAATTGCTCAAAATAGCGTCAGAGCAATCGGCGAAATGTCGCTTTCCATCAGATGTCGCCTAAAGGGTTTTCTTTCCAAGATTGCTCCTCTGTTTCAATTGCTCAAAATAGCCTCGAAGTAATCGGCGAACTGTCGTTTTCCATCAAGTGTCGCCTTATGGTTTTTTTGTACAATTTTACGTCTCTCTTTCAATTGCTTAAAGAAGCTTCGACGCAATCAGTGAAATTTCGATTTCCATCAGTTGTCGGCTAACGGGTTTTTCTGTAAGTTTTTGTGTCCGTTTTCAATTGCTCAAAATAGCTTCGACACAGTCGGCAAAATGTCGTTTTCCATCAAGTGTCGCCCTATGGTTTTTTCTGTACAATTTTGCGTCTCTCATTCAATTGCTAAAAATAGCTTCGACTCAATCAGCGAAATGTCACTTTCAATCAGTTGTCGCCAAACGAGATTTTTACTGTACATTTTTGCATCTTTACTTCAATTGCTCAA